TCGCGTTCCAGTACACTCCGAACACTCTCTGCCCCACGCCACTGCACGGCGCCTCCACCACCCGTTGCCCCTTCTGAAATGACCGGTGGCTTGATTGCCGACGTTCCTGGAGCGCTTCCAATACCAGTCACGTGAACGCATGCTGCGCCAAAGCTCAAACGTCCACGGTTGCACGTGCAACTCGGGTTCCCCATTGTGTCCCAGTATACCGTCTCCAGCAAGGCGTTGCTCTTGGTGGGTCGCCCCAGAGGCTTTGGCCTCGCAGCGTTGCGGTCATCAGAAACACATAGCTGCTGGAGCCCTCCTCGTCAATGCTGTAGACTGCGCAATTGCCACTCATAAGGTTGGCCAGGAACCGACCAGCTTGAGCCACAAGCGTGAGCTGCCCGCCCGCATCTCGGGCTTCTTCGACGTTGCATTGGGCCTGCAAGAGGCAAGAACGTAGATCAGACACTTACATTCTTCGAGGAGCTAAATGAATGCGGCCCATAGGAGTTTTAGACTTTGCTAGGCTGGTTAATCTAGAGATCCGGACGGCGCTGCTGATTGCTTGAAACGATGAGACTCTATCTCTTGCAAATCCTTGACCAGCAACAAAAAGGTCTGCAAAAAGCACTTACCGGGTGTGGGGTTCGTGGGATCTGTCCAGCCTGACGCCCCCTGTTCAAAGCAGCTTCGGCTGCAGACTTGATCCGCTTACCGCCAGCTGACTCCATGCTCTTGGCATTCATCATTTGCAGCCGAATGACCTCTTCTCCAAGCAACACTCTCTGCTGGCACCATGAGTCGGTCGAATCTGTACGCGAGAACCAAACCTCTGCTGGACCCACCCATCCAGCTGGCGCGACACTGATGCTGGTCTTTGTAACCAAGACCCTCCCCACCCAGCGCTCAATGCAAGCGATGCACACTGGCTGGCTCTTGCCGCTGCCTTTCATTTTGCCGGAGATGACGAATCCGCTGCGACCTGCTTGCTGAGATTTCCGGAATGAGATCCGGCAGACTCCGTTTTTAGAAGAGAGTAGAGACTGCTTGCATATTGCACATTTGAAGGCGGTGGAGTCAGCTGTAAGCAGCCTAGGGTCAATAATGAACTTCCCGGTGGAGACCTGTTTCCATGAGGTCGGACAAAACTTGGTCTGGTTGCATGATCCTACCCCTGTCATGCTACCTGAGCAGGGCCGGGACTTGGCTCAAAGCTAGCGGCCGGTTGAAAGTAATCTTCGCTTATGGCTGATGTGGAAATGATAACGGTTCGGGACCCGTATCGGCCTTATATAGACAGCGCTGGACCATGAAGGCTGCGTAAGAGTCACGGAGGTTTGGGACTAAACATAAATTGCGCCACGTATAGGCTCAGGGTGCGATTACGTATGATGAAAAGTGCGTCGCGAGTATACGTATTATCATATCTATGGTCCCTTACACGTGCCGGATCAGCGCCGGGGCGTCTAAAGTAAACGGTGTGACATAGGTCAGTCCCGAGGGGGTCGGTAATGGAAAATCCTCTACGGTACCTGAATCCAAACTCCCGCTAAATATGCCGCTAAATTGCCTCAAAGCTCCGATCGCCGTCGATCCTTCCCGAGGGATATCTGGGCCGTCCCTTTTATGCCATTCTTCAGATGGTTGGCCCCAACTAACCATCTGGAATCCGGAACTGCCCACTCCCGTGCCGCCACGTGTCCCCCCGGCCGTCCAAGCCGGTGGCCTTAATAGATGGCTAAGGGTTCTGTCTGACCCGCTCTGCTCCTCGGCGTGACCCATTCAGTGGCACTCGTAATCGGCTTTCCTTCATATACCGGTAGGTGCGTGGACGCACACCGGGCGCACACCTCGCTTTCGCGGCCCCGACTACCCAGAATTCGCTGCCCATTTTGCACCATGTGAGGCACAACGAAAATCGCGAAGTTCTTACGGTATACGTGATCGCATATGGGGCCTTTGTGGTCGGACTGTCCCGACAGAAGCTGCCTGTGCAGCAGGGCTTGCGGTATTGCGGGCCCATACATTCCAACAATCCGAATCTAAATCCTCATTCCCAGCATCAACGCAGCCCCAAGACCCTCGAAGACCAGAGCTCGGAAGTCCTCGCTGCCGCCGACGACGGCCCGCATTCTACCCTAACTTGGTTCCTTTAGGCAACCTGCTATTCTGGGTTACCTAGTTCAATCAATAGCTTCTCCTACTGGAAAGCTATACGTAGTGACAGCTGTCCCGGTTAGTATAACTCCGGTACCATTAGGGTACAGGTCATGGGTTAAGTGAGAGTGGGCTTGACTTTCACTAGCCGGTGGGCCTAGTGACCCTGTGGTCTTTTAAGTGCAGCACAGAACCGCTTTATACATCAACGTAAACGCCTTTTAAGATCAAGTGCATGCCTGACGTGACCGGAACAAATATTTAGAAAGCGCATGGATGCTCCGAGACTTTTGCAAATAAAAAATGCTGGTGCCCGATGTATATTGCAAGATGATCGGACAATGATTGTGCAATTCGAACATGCACGCAGGAACCCGATTGGCACTGAAATATGCGGTCATCAGAGATTCAATTATCGCATTCCCTCGAGGACCTAGCTCGCTATATGGCGATAGCGATTGCTCGCTTCAAATTTTTATATACACTTGCATCATGCAGTATATCTCCAACTAAATCACTAAGGTGACACCAATGGGCATATTGTCGAACTGACGGTTTTGCAAAAGAGTACGCAACAAGAGTCCTCATGCTAAGTTGGTAACTATGATGTGTTTCTCAAGAGCAAAAAACCGTTTCTTTTATTGGTTTTCTAAAGTGAATCACTGGACTTGATCAAGACCCCCAGTAGTAACTTTAGCATGGAGGCCAATCCGGCAGTTTGACGCTACATTCTACATACATAGACGTGCGCTCCTAGTTGGCTTTTTTGAAACGTCCTAAAGCGCATGCCCATGATTCTCCGAATCAGCATTTTGCAACCCTCTATCGAGCTACTACTTCGCACAAAATCCCTGGTGCTTGTTGGGGTTTGTAGGCTCTGTTTTCAAGCTCGTAGTCTTGCTTAATATGCCCGTTGATTGACCCCCGCAGGCTCCTATTTTGAAGGAGCATCCTAACTAATGCCACCATCCACTGCCCTCATGCTGCACAAGATATTTCAAAACTTGAATCAGGTTTGGCGTTTGGTTATGGGAGTCTGCCAATGGCAAGAATGGACTGTCGACTCAAGGACATGTGTCTGATTGCCACGCGCGCACAGCCGTTGGATGTAGCACACAGTAATTTAGAGACCGCCCTGGTGCCTTGGGGCCCCTGCACGAAATTGCAGCGAGCCACTAGGGTCGGGGTGCTCAAAATGAGCACACCCTTTGGGGCCAAAGCGAACTCTAGTCTTTCATGTATAGTGCGCCTTACCCCTTTTTACTCAAAGCAAGTTCACTCCTCGGTACCCTTCTCGTCATGCACAGGCTGTCGAGCAACTGTTGAGCGAAGCTTTCACAAACGAGAAATGCTTTGACCCTATGCTAAAGACATTCCCGCGCTCAATTTAAAGGCGGCCCTAACCTAACCAAGGTCCCACAGAGTACTGGACACCGAGCGCACGATGCATACGAATGACTGAACGAATGAGCGAAGGGTATCAGACTGTTCACCTGCTCATGTGGGCAAGTAGGCAGCACTAGCTCGGCTCATTTGGCCGCTCCACTTGAGTCGTCCTTGTCGCTCATCTTTCGTGCATTGAACGCTCGGGCAAGAAGCGCCCACGCTCCAGCTGAAGCTGTGGCCTTCTTCGCTGCGGCCTCCTCTGCTTCCCAAGCCTGTGGAAGGAAACATAACACATGGCGTAAGAAAGCAAGATGAAAAGCAAGATGAAAAAGCAAGAGGGCACAGGCAGCTATTGTTTTGAGGTTGTTTTTTGAGCATGCTGAGCTCGACAAGTGGCCAGACAAAAGCTGGCTGTCAAAAGGAAGACCTGTCGCATGTAATCACTGCTTTAATCGACGGCCCCCCTGTCATAATCTAGCAACTTCATGTTTCTTCACAGCGAGGTGTCAGAACCACATAACCAAGTCCAGCACACGACCACAGAGTTCTCGTTTTGTTCTGAGCCAGTAGAGTGTTTGAGGTTTAAGGCTCCACATAAGGCACTGACGACATTGTAACAGTGTGTAACCCACAGGTTGCTGTCGATATTCATCCTGTCCTCCACCTAAGCGCTACCAAGCGCTACCATACGTACTACTGCTGCCACTTTCATCTCCCAAAGAAGTCACGCAGAATGCTCTCGACTTCCTGCGATGGTTGATGAGACGAACCTGTATCAATGGCGGCAGGACCATCTTCCAAGCGCAGAGATGGACAGCGGAGGGGGCCATCACCAACTCCTCCCAGTCGCCAAATGAACTGCGCGGGATGTCAAAGGCCCACTCCGAGACGGGGCGCACAGTCACCACGTTGCACTGAACCAGCGCCCGCAGGGTGGCATTCTCATTCGTTGCCGTGTCCAGCGCTTTGAGCAGCATCAGAATCTCTGCCGTTGGGACCCGGTTCTCGTCAGCAGCCAACACGGCGCGTGCCACCGTCAAGAATGCTGCTGACGTGTATCCCACAGCCTTGACGGGATTGACGGAGCTTCGCACAGCGGACTTGATCGGCTGCACGATGTCATCAAGCGCTGCAAACAAGTGGTGGACGCACAGGTCAGGAAGGAGCATCCTTACTAGCAATCAGGTATACATTAGTTGATATGGACTACTAGTTGATGTGGACTACTGCCTGCATAACGGCTCCTATGTACCACTGCCCTTGCCAGCAAAGTATTTCCATTACAAACAAACACCTAAGAGGACCTAGTCACTGATGCAGCCCTGCCATCAGAAGATCATAATCCAACGCAACTTGTTCAACAAGCTAAAGTCAGGCAGTAGTGGTGTGAACAGGAGCTGACTCCATGCACTTGTCTGACAAGGTTAAGTGGACATGGGCAAAAGTCTGGCGGTACATTCTGACATGTCTGTTGAGCTGTGCACCGAGCAGGAGGAACAGCAATCACGGCGGCTTACATATGATTGACAGTTGTGTTCACTTTTCCTCCTACCTCGGTGCACTGTAAATACGGCGGCTTTTTTTACACAGCCACAGATCACTCTTCAAGACCACTAAGGATTGAAAGGCAACTGGGTGCTGCATACTTCCTCTGTTGCCCATATGAACATTCACGAACATAGGGGCAAACTCTCTCCCCTTCCACACACATTCGCAGCTGGCTGGAAACCTCCCAGAAGTACTCAAACTTAAAGTGCCCTTCTCAATAAAAGCATATGAAGAACCCCTTCACAGAAACATCCTAAGTGCCCCTTCCCAGGGGTAAAAGCCAAGTGGTCTCTCAACTGACACAGATAGTCGCCTTTCCTTACCAATACACATGGTGCCCTTACCTGCTGACATGTCTTGTTTCCTCCTGAACGGACCCGCACACCGTTTGAGAAACCCTGCGTTTCCGTCGAGGAGCTGGCAAGGAAAAAATTGACATTGATTAAGTTGGTTCACAGAAGTGTTCAAGATAGAATTGTTCCTTTCAAACTGCATGGAGCACCAAAATTATAAAGTAGGGGGGAACACCATACAATAAACATAAAAGGAAGGGTATACAGCAGCCCCTCATTCAAGCGGGCCCATGACTGCGAAAAGTGCAGGAACTAGCCGGATGCCTGGAGTTTAAAGAGAGGCTTCTTGAGGTACTCCACGCACTTCAACAAGCAAGAGGCACTGCCTAGGGCCCGTATCGACAAGCAAGAGCAGTCAAGTTCACCTTGTGGCACATGTCCCACTCAGCATCGGCCACTGGAGTCCCAACTTCTTTCTCAAAGAAGGACCTCGCATCTCCCTCCTCGAAATTTCCAATGACCGCGACTCTCACAAACTCTGCAGGGATCCCTGTAGAAGTAAAGCATTGCCTTGCTTTTAAAAGTGCAATCTATGGAGGTGGTCAGCCAAAGACAACCTCAGGTTCCCTAGCTGCAAATTAGAATGACAAAGCAGGGTAGGAACAATACAGCTTGACACCCACTGAGGCCAACCCTTCTGCAGCTTGTATTTTCCACTTTTCCCCTGTCAATACGCAGTCACATTTTGAGAAAACTTCCAAACCTGATGGTATGCTTGTTTGGTAGCTTGAGTTTACTTACTCTGGGACAGCCAGTCGCTGAAGGCATACTCTGAGGTCACCAGGACAGCATGCGCTTGGCCCTTTTGTTTGGAGACAAACAAGAGCCAATCCAGGAGCGCCTGTAAATCTTTTTGGCCTTCGTCGCCCCAGGTTGCTAACTTGTTGGCCTCATCGATGAGAATGACTGGGGGAAATTTGACAAGGCCGCCCGTTTTTGCCACTGCTGCCTGCTCTTCGTCAATTGCAGTGAGGACCGTGTTCAAGTATCTAATTACTTCACCGACGCTCTTGATGTCCTTTTGAAGCAGGGATTTCAGCTCCGGGAGGGCCACAGTGAAATCAGCAATCTTTTCAGAAAATTTGAGCTGCTGCAACACTGGCCATGCTTCTAGGACAAACTTTCTCAGATTCACTGGGAGCGCATTCAGAAGCCTGCCAGACTCCATGCCGAGTTCCCGGCCCAAGTCTTGAGGGCTCTGTAAGTTGACCCCGCGGCAATCTACTGCCAGAAACGACTGACGCTTTTCAGCTTCCGCTTTCAACTTGTACTTTTCGAAAAATGCAGATTTGCCTGAGCTTTTCGGACCAAGCACAACCAATATTTCACTTGGGTCATCGTGCAGGAATTCTTCTGCCATGCGCATTTCGCGGACCCGATCATGGAAAGTGACATCCCTTCGTGCGGGATTGCTTGAACACGTTATGCTACGGTGTCCAGCTGAACGTTGGGACCTATACCCACGGCTCAACTCTCTCTTAAAGGACCTTCCCCAGATGATTGTGCCACCGGTACAGCTGGTGCTGATGGCCGCCATGTTTGCAACTGCGACCCTTAGTCTACTACTGTAACATACGACCGTCCCTCCTTGCAAGGAACTATTGCCGCTACAATTGTGAAATCCGGCATAAAACTACCCACTCCCATGCCGCCACGTGTCCCCCCGACCGTCCCGGCTAAGGGTTCCGTCCCGACTAGGGGTCGGCATAAGCCGGCCTCTAGTTATCCCGGGGACACTCAAATTTTCGAAAAGCCGACAAAAGGGCGAAGTACCCGGCTTAGACGCCGACAAAAATGCTCAAAAATAGGCGACTTGCCGCTATGTGGCCGACTAAATGCACATATATGAAAAAAAAGGCCGACTGAATTGATGGGTAGCCGGATATAAGCCGACATTTTTGAAAATTGAACAAGTTGAAGTTGGTCCCGACCCGCTCTGCTCCCGAGCGGGACAGTTCAAAATCCCCAAGCCATATACGCACGGCATTTGGACAGTTCTGGACATACACGTGGACGCAAGCCAGGCCTCGCGGCCCTCACATTCCACCTGATTCCACCACGTGGAAGCTCAATCAAAATTCCGGAGTTTGCCTCTGTATACGTAGACGATTGGGGCTTTCTGATCGGACCGTCCCGACCGGACCGTCCCGTGTGGCAGCAATGCGGGCCTATAAATTCCAAATTTCTGAACGTAAATTCTTATTTCCAGCATCCACCGCCCCAACCAAGGTCCGAAGTTCCGAACGTCTCCTTCCCAGCATCCATCCGAGCTGGCCCCGTCGTTAGAGTGCAGCTCAAGGCAAAGAGCAAGATCGCCGAGCTGTCTCCTGTGCGTCCTGACTTGCTGCACCGTCCTCTGTGGGTGGTGCCTGTGCGGCCGGGACCTGTTCTTCTGTGGCTGGAGCCATGGTTGATTGCTTAGTCTTGGCCCTTGCAGATGCACAAATTGGAGCAAGCCGCAACAAGCATTCTCTCCAGTCTCAGCGTCACATCTGACTAGCTTCGCTTTTCACCATAGAATACTCTGACACTGCCGGCCTAATCTGCCAGGGTGGAAGCCGGCTTCCAGCAATTTGAGCTGGTTAGGTGGTGGAGGGCAGCTCCACAGCCTTGGGCATCAGCAACTGTGCGCAGCCTGCTTGGGGGCCGTGTCAAAACACCTTTCAAAATGCAACCGGTTCTCCGCAATTTTCGCCAGGGGCCAGCCCCCCCTTTCCCCAGCCCACCAGGGGGGTCATATAGAGTGTAAAACTGCCCCCCCTGAGTGGCCAAACCAGCTACCACACCCCCCCCCGGGGGGGTCGGCCCGTGCGGAGAACCGGTTGTCACTGGAAATGTGTTTTGACACCGCCCCTTGATCTGGGGTCGACACCAGCATCGAACCGGACATTGAGCTGCCAAAGTTGAGCTCCAGTACACTAGCTCCAAGCCGTCGGCATTATAGGAGCAGCGCCATCAAAATAGCCGGCAGAGAGCACCACCATTGAAGCCGCAATTACGAGCTGCGAGCAATGGCTTCCAACCTGCATTTCCACTGGGAAAGGTAAGCGCTGCTAGCTGCATTGTGTGTTTGTGACCTCTGGCTTTGCATCGATTGTGGAAACGCTTCTTTTTGAATGGCCTCTTTGTCAGTACAGTATAGCTCTTTGCACCTAGCGAAGGTTGCAGGAAGAAGTTCTTTCCCTCAATTTGCATGCCAAATAGGAGCCTTCAATAAGATTTGATCTCGGGGTCTGCAAGGCCTAGCTCTTGTGGCTTCATGAGAATGGAAAAACCAGTAAGCAGGCAGCTCATGCATCTGTCAGGAAAGTCAGCAAGACTGCTTAGCGTAGTCAGGCAGCGGGGTGCGTCGCCCATCCTGCTAGCAGAGATGGGGGGCTTTGAGCTGAATCTCAGCTGGCTGCTGGCTAGTAGCGCTGCCAGCTCAATTGCAGGTCATAGACTGATAAGCTGCATGAGAGCTGACATCAAAATGCCATCCGCTGTTCATGCCAACCCTGGTCAACAGTCAGCTGACGTGCGCCTGTTTTTCTCTTCTCCAGCGGCTCATCTGCTTCTGAAGAAACCGAAGGCGAGGACATTGAAGGTGTTGAGTACGCTGATCGGCCTGTTGACGGGTCCAAGTCTGGACGTTCTTTAGAGGATTTCTTGAATGATAGAGACTCCGCAAGCATCCAAGGCCCGAACTTCTACCGGGCTCTCACAAATGAAAACAGTCTCAGCCCAGCTCAACTGCCGAAACGTCTTGAGAAGAGCAAGAAGATCCGCCCTCCGGTGAGTTTCTCACACATTGCTTCAATGTGTTTGGCAAGCCCTGCTCTATCCCAAGTCCATATACATGGGGTCAAACTATCAGGGACTTCGCAGTTGGATTCTAGCCGCGCTTTAGTCTGCTTCTAGCATCCTGGCAGAGTGCAGTCTAGCGTGACCTTGCATTCATAAAATGTGTCTCTAGACCAGTTGCTGCGGGGCTCATGAACATGTCGAGAACAAATCCTATCCCAGATATTCAGACATCTATAGAAATGGAATCAATATTTGTTCCCGATCGATCTCAGGCACGGCTGACGCACGAGCACCTTCACTTTCTCTCGTCCCCCTTTATACTTGTCCAGGGGTTTTCACCTACCTCTCCGTTCCCTTGGACCTCTGGCAGCGCTTTCAAGAAGGGGTTTAGCACACCACCACCGTGCATACGCAAGGTAAGAACGGAAGCATGAAGGCGGCTGTTTGTGCAAGCTTGACAGTGACTTGTTGCAGCTGGTTGTCATGCTATGATGGGTGTTCTAACTTCATTGAAGCATGAACACCAAGTTTTTGAGGCTCATCCTACATGGCTGTATGCGCTGCAACACCCTTTGCTAATGGCTGCTCATTGGGGTTGGCTTGCATCCAGATTTAACATCCCGCAATTGTCATATTTCATAGGTGGCTCCGTCTTGCCGCCCCTTGGTTGAGCAGCATCACGGTGGTGTGGGCAAGTTGTCAAACGAAGCTTCACTCAAAGAGGACCTTGGCCCCATGATATTGACAGGGCCAGCGCTTGACAGGAAGCGTCGCCGCATCATCTTCTCGCAAGACTCTGAGAAAGAGCATCTGCTGTCCCCACGACTGCTTCCAGAGGTGAATATATGCGATCGTACTTGCAGCATAGAGCTTGCAGTTAGTGACTTCACCAAGATGCAGATACAATACGTACTAGTTGAAGGCCCACATGTGCGCGCTAGCATTGCGCATCTTTCTGTGTGTGCATCACATGGCGGCCTGGTCCCCAGCCTTGACGATGACTGATGATATTTGCAGGAAGTGGGCCCTCAAGACGGATTCGCAGCGCGTGCTCTCGGATGCAGCCAGGAGCAGACAGGTGTCGACGAGCAAGGCCAGGTACATCAATTGCTCGACTGTGCATAGTACTTATTAAGTTTTTAGTAGGGTCGTGAAGTTCAGGTTAATGGCAACGGTTGCTTCAAATGTCGGATGCTTGTTCCTGAAGAATGATACACTCACTAACGGAGTGACGCAATCAAATCTTTTCGATCGACTTTCAGCTTCTAAGTAGCTTCCGATGCAGGATTCGGGAGTTCTCAGTAATATTCAGACTCCGCAGTATCAGATATGAATCAGACTGTGTCCGAAGCTCCGAGTCAATGAATCGTGATGACTAACTAGTATGAAGCCTTATGCAAGTGGGCCGCCCTTCGGCCATGCCTTATGCAAGCGGCGAATTATATTTGGATGCTGCAACGGTATGTTGGAGATGCTACTATGTATAAGCTTGTTTGCGTCGTGACTGCATCTTGGCACATATCAAGCGCATCAAGATTGACTCGGATGCACATGACCTATCAGTACCGGGTGCAGCCATTGGCACGGGAACAAATCGTATCCCAGATATTAAGACATATGTAGGAATGGAATCAATATTTGTTCCCGGCCAATCTCAAATCGAACAACCCGCTCTGGCTCTCTTCGCTGACTGCTGAGATCTAGGCCCGTTCGGCCAAAGTTGCACATCAGAAGATTCTCTCGACGATGTTTTGAGTCTGGCACCCCTCATCTGTCGCCTGTATTTGAACGCCTTTTTGGGAACACATCCAGATTGACTTGGATGCACAAGACCTATCAATTCCGGGTGCATCCATCGGCGCGGGAACAAATCGTATTCCAAATATTAAGACATCTATGGAAATGGAATCAGTATTTGTTCCCGACCGATCTTATTCACGATATGATTCTTGCGAGGTCCCTTCCGTGTCTGTTGAGGAACGAGTGCGCTTTAGGTGCTTTTTGGGGCCCGCTAAATGCCAAACGGCCATCTTTCTGGCCGCTCGCAGTGGAACGGCGAGATGACGCTCCGATTCATGTCCCTATATGATCGCCTATTATTTTTATGCAGGCATTCATGAGCCTGCACCAAGCGCCAATCCCTGGAAGTTTCTCAGTCAGCAGCCCGTGTTGGAGATGCTACTATGTACAAGCTTGTTTGCGTCGTGACTGCATCTTGGCACATATCAAGCGCATCAAGATTGACTCGGATGCACATGACCTATCAGTACCGGATGCAGCCATTGGCACGGGAACAAATCGTATCCCAGATAGTATTAAGACATATGTAGGAATGGAATCAATATTTGTTCCCGGCCAATCTCAAATCGAACAACCCGCCCTGGCTCTCTTCGCTGACTGCTGAGATCCAGGCCCGTTCGGCCAAAGTTGCACACCAGAAGATTCTCTAGACGATGTTTTGAATCTGGCACCCCTCATCTGTCGCCTGTATTTGAACGCCTTTTTTTGAACACATCCAGATTGACTTGGATGCACAAGACCTATCAATTCCGGGTGCATCCATCGGCGCGGGAACAAATCGTATTCCAAATATTAAGACATCTATGGAAATGGAATCAATATTTGTTCCCGACCGATCTCAGGCACGATATGATTCCCGCGAGGTCCCTTCCGTGTCTGTTGAGGAACGAGTGCGCTTTAGGTGCTTTTTGGGGCCCGCTAAATGCCAAACGGCCATCTTTCTGGCCGCTCGCAGTGGAACGGCGAGATGACGCTCCGCTTCATGTCCCTATATGATCGCCTATTATTTTTATGCAGGCATTCATGAGCCTGCACCAAGCGCCGATCCCTGGAAGTTCCTCAGTCAGCAGCCCGTCTTCAGCTGACCGCGTCGACAGCGTCGAGTCTACCGACAACCTCGAGGAGCGCTGCGACGAGGACTTCCAAGACAACTCCGCCGCCAGCCCGTTGCTAGAAGCTGCAACTTGCCACGCAGCTGTCGACGACGAGGGCTTCGCAGCACTCGAAGTGGGGCAACTGCCTCAGGTGGGGGGGCGATTCCCTCCTCCAATCCCATGTCGGTTCCATGGCATGCTGACCGTGACCTAGGTTGAGAATCTGCACCCAAGAGATGTGGGCCGTGCAACAGTCCTTGGGAGACGGCTTCAAGATGCTAACATGGCACGGAACTTGAAAGCCAGCGCAGATTCGAATCTCTCCCCCCAAGTCCACGGGAACAAATCGTATTCCACATATCAAAATGCTTAAGTATTAGAATCCATTTTCGTTCCCGGCCTTTCGACTGCAGACGCAATGGGGGGGCCCTCAATACCTCGCAGGGAACTCGCATGGCCTGAGTCCGTCTGACTTTTATGCCTCACTGCCACACTAGAATGAATGCATGCGTTCTCAGATCCAAGAAGGCACCTACACATGCACGTCGGTCTGATGAACATCTCTGCTATGGTCGCAGCATCACCTGCCGCACGAGGACTTTCTGGGCCAGCCTTGGTTCCCAAAGAAGGCGGCGGCCGTTCAGCACCAGCAGGCAAACGCCCACTCGCTGATCGGATCCTGCGACCTGAGCGACTCGGGAGGGTTCAAGAGCTTTTCGAGCTTTTCGGACTCTCGGGCGTTTGTGAACTACTTGAAGCAGCTTCAGGCAGCTGGGGAGACCCCAAATCACTACGAGTGCGTCGACGCCACTGACGCCTTCCAAGTTATACGTCGATATCGACTACACGGTGGGAGGACGAGATGACGGGGAATTCGGGGAGCGGTTTCAGCATTGCCAGATCGTGCTCCGCGGGTTTCGAGCTGGTGCTCCTGCTCCCGGCCGAATCCATCACCTTCCAGGTGGCGACCGCTCACGGAAGGTGCAGAAGCGGGAGTTTCAAGTACAGCGCGCATGTTTGCCTGCAAGGGTTCTACTTGGAGGATTCGTCCGCGCGGCGGGAGCTGAAGAAAGCTCTTGCCCACTTCCTTGAGAAGCCTCCCGAGGCGCTGCGCCGGAGCTGCGAGTTCCTGTTCTACGAGGGGAACAAGGGGGGCGTCCTCGTCGAGGGATGCCTCATTGATTCGACGGTCTACAGCTGCTTCCAGAACTGGCAAACCCTTCACTCCGAGAAGAAGGGGTCGGGCCGCCCCCTCGCTCCCGCAGCGGGAAGCTCTTGCAACATCGGCGACCATCTAATCGGCTTCTATGGGGCGGCAGAGGTAGTGGCTGCCACAAAAACCGACAGCAACCTTCTGGCGGTTTACAATCAACGGGAGGAGCCGGCGGCGTCCATCTCTCGGCGCCCCGTCAACTGAGGCATCGACTCGGGGGGTGCGGGGGACGTTTGTGGAAAGAGGCCGCACGCAACGGCCTCTGACGGGCGTCGAGACGAACCGCCTGCTACGGCGATACCAAACGGACCATCCAGAGGCCTATGTTCTTCGGGTCGAGGCCATGGGCGAGGATGTGTTCACGGTGCACTTAAGAGTCACCACCTTCTACTGCTGGATAGCGGGGCGGGCGCACTCTTCTCCAGGAAATGCGTGCGCGGCTATCTGGTCTATAGCAGAAACGGGCCATCCAAGGCCTTCTACAGGTGCCACGCAGCAGTGTGTTAAAAGAGACCATCGAAGACGGTATACCTTGCATGAAGGTTTTCACTGCAGGAATGGCAGTCGCATTACCAGACTCACCACGCTGAGCATCGCGGCAAATGGTCGCCAAATGTCAACCTTGGCTAGCTCTGGTTCATGGAATCGGTCAGTCCAAATGAGGTCTTTGCATGTGTTCCGTCACAATGGAGCACGCACTTGTTCACCTCAACAACCAGTTTCGGCCTCGAATATCAAGTGTACGTTATCGAAACAAATCCAACTAACATACCTACCCTTTGCATCATATCCTTTGTCAGATGCTATTGACAACTGGTAAAATGTTGTTTTACAAGATGCAGGATCGTGCAAATAAAAGGCCATTGTCCAACCTCCATGTCAACTTTACAACCAAATCAAGAACATCAACTATCTGGCAACCAATCTGCTCGGCCGTCAATCATAACCGTGCAGCTTAGAATTACACGTGCATGAAAGGTAGCAGTGAGGTGGAGGCTTCATGTAAGGTGAGATTTCCGTGCAAAAGCAAAAGTGACCATTCTTCAAATCAGGGTGCAGTGCACGTGGTTGAAGAAAGGAGACCTCAGGACGTATGTGCAATTGTAATATCGTCGAAGCTGAACAGCTGTTCTCGACCTAGAGATTGTCTGCCCTCCGACTTGACCAACCATGCACAAAGAAATAAAAAAGGCGTACTAGCAGACGTGCTGCCAACCCATGACCCCAACCCACAGTGCCCACCTCAAGAGCTTCAGCGAATCAACCAGGATTTTGTCCGATCAACCACTCAGTACACTGTTCTATCTATACAAGCGTCTTTGTACACCGCAGAGCAAAATTGAATTAAACGAAAGGCTCCCCAACCCTTCTTTTCCGATTTGCGCGACCCCCGGCCAAGGCCTCAGCCTGTGATGAAGGAGCCTGCGGCCATGCCCCATCTGTCGACCGATTCGAAGGCCCCCTTGCGCCCGCCAGTCATCCCGTGTCCGTTCGACTCTCCTCCGAAGTTGCTCCAGCCCCCGCTGCTCCCAGCCGCCCCCCAAATCGACTCCACCGGAGACGACGAGTATAAGGAAAAGTTACTGGATCCCCCCGACAGCTGTCTCGTCAACGCCGGCACATTGGACGGCGCCGGGTTCTCCCGCGGAGTCAGCGAAAACGGGCTGGCCGCCGAGAAGGCCGGCGAGTTGAAGTAACTCGACGCAAACGGAGACGCTTCGCTTGATGCGCCCGAGAACGGAGACGGATTCGCATTGGCGGGAGGCTCGAGCGTAAGCGCAGAGATTGTGAGCACGTCGGACTCGGACCCCCAGCCAAACGCGGACTGGTTCGAGGAAGCGGACGAGGGCCGGGTCGTCGGTCCGATCGGCCCGAGGGGAGGGGAAATTGCGCCGTAAGCCGGGGACACACTTCCGGACGTACGGCCGGAGCCGACGTGCAGTGCGCTCCCGTTGTGGCGCCCACTTTCCGCCCCCGCAGGAATGAAGCGCGCCGGTTTCGCGAACGCACTGTCCTCGAGCAGCCGGTCGACGGCGGTGTGCAGGTTGAACGCCGCGAAGAGGTCGTCCCCGCTGACGTCAGCAGACGACGTGGCCTCCGGGACGGTCAGCGACGAGAAGGCGTCGAGGCGCGCACGGGCAGAGAGGCTGGCTTGGCGGCCCGAGAAGCTCGAGTGGCGGCTCAGCAGCCGGAATCCATCGTCTCCGAACGGAAGCCCCGTTTTGTGGTCCCCATTTTGCGAGGACTCCAGGTCGTGACTCGCGCGCAGCGCGGGGAAAGCGTCGGGATGAAACGCGGAGGGGGGTAGCATGTGCCCGTTGAACCCGACCCCCCCGTTGCGCTTGGCGGCCGCTGACGCGAAGCTCGACGCCTCGGACTTGAGGCTCGACCCGAGGAACGACTCGCTCTTGCCGCTCGAGGGCAGGCTCGGGAACGAGTCCTCGTCGAAGCTGGGCGAGTGGAACGGCCCCGGGGACGGTTTCGACGAGGGCGAGTTCGCCTTGTACCCTTTCGGACGCTGGACGATGACCCGGTGTCCGGACGGGCCCCCCAGCTTGGCTGTGTCCAGGTCTTGGGCGAAGAGGTCCAGAATGGTGTCGGCGATTTCGGCGGTGTTGAACTCGACCCATGCAAAGGTGCGCCCGGGGGGTCGCACGATGTGCGCGATTGCCGCTGTCAGGCCGGTCTCGCCGCCTGCCACAGGGGATCAGCTATTAGCTGTCAGTTTCCGTCGTATTTGCTTTGCAGTTCTTAAAAGCACGGGTTGCGTGCCCGTTCGCGCTTGCTTATCGAGTGACATGAAGGAGAAAGGCGTTCAGTAAGTCAGCCGATCAGGACAAACTTTGCAAACTGAAACGGCCGGGGTAAAAGAAGAGAGCGTGTACGGACGCAGCAATCAGGCACGAGGAAGTAAAAGCTTCGTGGAGGAAAGCAACAAGACAAAGAACCAAGAAACGCGACAGGAAAGTACGAAGAGGAACGGGGATGACTTTGAGAGGCAACAGCATAAAATAGACAGACGATGGAACAAGACGAAGTCCTTGAAAGCACGAAGAAAGATCCGGCGATTGAGGAGATAGGGAAATCCTGTTGGCGAAGCACCCTGAGCCCCAGCCGAGGGCAGACAATTTCAAACTCAAACGAGGAACGCTCGTCGTTTGCTTTTATCCCTCCTTTGAGACAACCACCATTACCGACAGGTTTGCAGAATTCCTTGCCGGGTTCATACTTCCATTGGTGATTGACCACTGACGAACTCACAAGTGATTACTCGCCACTTAACACTCAGGAAGCTGCAGAGAGGATGACAAAAAAGGGAAGAGGTCGATCAGAGACCCGCTGATGACCCCTGTGAAGTTAAGAGTTCCGTTGATCGACGACCAGTGAACTCACCACTGAAGACTTGGAGCCGAGCACTGCGGAAATCACCGCTGATCACACGCCACTAATCACGCAGAAAAATATCAGGCAAAGTGGGTGAGAATAGACCGGGGAAGGTTAATCGGAGACCCACCGATGAGCCCCCTCTCGAGGCACAGCTTCTCGAACATGGCGCGAATCCCGGGGCCTTCCTCCTCGTCCGGAAGCGCGTCCACGTGGAGCGCTCTCTGCCGGTCGATCGAGTACGAGAGGCTGAAGATGTCGCGGGGGAGTGCGCTCTTTTTGCCTCCGGGGGAGGGGGACCCCATCCCCTGCTGCGCCAGCTGCTGGGCGAGCCCCCCCGAAACGGGGGACGGCAGGCTGCCCGAGGGGGACGGCGGGACCTGCGGGGAGGACGGGGTGACGTCATGGTCTTGCTTGCTGACATTTCTGAGTACCTTCAGTTTTGGGGGCAAATAAGGATGCTGGCGCGGCGCTCATATTATCGTCGGTGGGGCTTGAGGCTGAACGGTGTCGAAGTTTGGAATGCTTGTTACGCACATGAAAGAACCGGTGAGACACCTGGAGATGACGTCTCAGGCCACTATAAGCCGACCAGTCAAATAAGAGACTGTTGGAGGAACAAACAAATTGCCTGAGACGGAAATTGACTTTGACGATTGAGTCGACTACGAAGACAAGGATTCATTGAATAGCAGCTTCGAGACGAAGGATTGGGAACGGCGAAAGGAAAGAGAGACTGTTCTAACCTTGACGTGCAGGCCCAAGTCCAATCCGTCGGCCCCGGGCAAGACCCTTCCGATTCTTCTCAAGCATCAAATGAAGTGCTTTGAAAGAGAGTCAACTGAAAGGGGACGAACCAAACCGAACGAGCCCGAACACGCGAGATGAACGAAGACACGAAGCAGACCAATCGCTCTCACCTTGACGTGCAGGCCCAGGTCCAGTCCGTTTGTCTCCAGCAAGCGGACCCCTTACGATTTTGATAACCGACCATTAAATAAAAGGTGTCGAGAGCGGAGAGTGAATAGACCTGAAAATAAGTTCTGCAAAGGAGAGTTCCGAAGAAAACCACAGCACAGTCGTTCTCGCCTTGACGCGCACGCCCAGGTCCAGTCTGTGAGCCCCCGACGAGAGCGTCCCATTGGGCTTTGAAGCCTCACCCATTATGCAAAATGCATCCAAGAAGAAAAGCTAGCCAATCAAGAAAAACACAGTCAAGTATGAAAATAATTCTTACCTTGACGTGCAGACCGAGGTCCAATCCATTGGGCCCCGGCGAGAGCGCGCCGTTGGGCTTTAAGAGCCGAGCGAACAAGTAAGATGCATCTGGAGGTGACGAAACGGACAATCTGGAACTAGCGAAATTGGCATGCACGGTCTGAAAGGAGTGTTCTCACCTTGACGTGCAGGCCCAGGTCCAGTCCGTTGGCCCCGGGCGAGAGCGCGCCGTTGGGCTTGGGCCCGGCGGGGCGCTCCACGAGGAGGCGCTGCTGCTGCAGGCGCACCGCGTCGGGCTTGATCTTGCACAGCTGGTACGCGAGGTCCGCGAGGCCGTCGGAGCCGAACTCGACGAGCGCGAAGCTCTTGCCGGGCTGCCAGATGACGTGGGTCACCAGTTCCACAGCGGACGTGTCAACCTGTGAAGGATAAACAAATTGGCTTCACTAAGCAGGATAAAAAAAGGCAATCCGTACGGAAATGTTCTTCGAAGCGGAAGTCGACGAGCGCAAAGGTCTTGCCGGGCGGCCAGATGACGTGGGTCACCATCTCGACGGCAGATGCGTCGACCTGGAAAAGATGAATAGATTTGGATCTCAGAAGGGTGTTTACATGTTTTCGCTGAAGCGAAGAACGGGCAGATGTGACCGGGAAGGGTAATTGGAGCCAAGTTTGACGAGCGCGAAGCTCTTGCCGGTCTGCCAGATCACGTGGGTCACCAGCTCGACGGCGGACGTGTCGACCTGGAAAAGATGGATAAGATGGAAAAGTCAGATTTCCGCGAACGGGCAAAAGCGAGCACATTCGAATCTGCACAGAAAGGTTCATTGGAGCCGAACTCGACGAGCTCAAAGCTCTTGCCGGGCTGCCAGACCACGTGGGTTACCAGCTCGACGGCGGACGTGTCAACCTGGAAAAGATGGACACACTGTCATTCTTCCGAATTACACTTGTCCAAGTCACTTTTCCAACTGGCACTTGAACCTGAAGCTGATTACACCAGTCGTCCGCAAAACCGCAATGGCCTTCAGGGAGGAGGTGCCTAGGTACGGCTTTCAGATAAGTCGTAGCAGAAACGTCGCTGGAAAGAGAAACTAGGCCCAAGTCGAATGATAGTTGTAAAACTTGCAAAATCTTTGCTCAAATTTTGAGGGAAAATGAAGAATAAACAGAACGACTGTCAACGTTCTTGACTGTCGACCCCTTAATTTGACCAAGTGCTCGCTCGGAGTAATACTGAAGATTGACGGTGTGACCAAAGGAGAATGTGCCAGCAGCACAGAGAAACTCCAACCGACAAAACATCGAGTAGAAAGGACATCAAATGGAAGAAAAAATGGACTCGAACAAGTTTTGAACGCGAACAGAGACGTATCAGGAAGCTCCCCCATGGCGAACAGCTTTGGCTGGAGACTGAATAGAAGACTGGATCACTAAAACGGAGCAGAATGCAAACGCCAGAGCGAAAGCAATGGTGCCGACCTCTCTCGCCTGATGGAGACTGGTCCAAGCGAGGTCATACATCCAATGGATAAGGTGATCACGAGGAAACAGGACAGGAGAGCAAACCACGAGACGTAACACCCGAGCTAGATATCCAAAGCACTAGGCCTGACCTTTCCCGAGTGCAGCAGGATGTTCCGGAACAGGTGGTAGATTCCCGGCCCGCTCGTGTTGTCCGGAAGGTTCTTGGCGACCACAGCCCGTCCCCGATCGACGCTGTAGTCCCAGTCGAAGACACCCTTCGGAATGACCGCGTTTTCCTGCTCCTCTCGCAGCAGCCGCACGACCTCGTACGCGCGCCGGACGCTCAAGACGTTCTTGCCGATCTTGAGGGACTCGGGGTGTATGTGGCACTGCGAAACACGAGAAAATAAGGGATCTGTTCTGTTCCTTCTCAACACTTTGAACTCCGATGTCACACGTATGGAACGGGGGTAGAAAGAGACAGACCGGTATTCGCAACAGATGCTCGGAACGCTCTTGCCAAGCTTAAGGGACTCAGGGTTTATGTGGCACTGCGAAAGAAGACCGATGCATCTTGGAATTTCTGTCATCCCCTTGAACCTCTCAGCTCCAATCCGAGAACACTTCTCAAAACCGTGATTGTCGATCGAACTCATAGACGCTGAAAACTTTGTTTCCAAGCTAGAAAGAGCAAAGATTGCGAAACATAGGAATCTCAAGGTTACAAAAACTCCTTACTTCTTTTCACGCCCTTCAAACCTTTTTCCACACAGATTTCCGCGATCGGATGATTGCAGACAATCTCCTGCGCTTGCCAGACGCTCCCTCTCTTACTTGAGCTTTAGAAATGATGCGTACATGTTTTCTTGCCAACAGAAGGGGCAAAAACTACGATCCCCCGTTCTTAAATTTACCCCCGCCCCCAGTCCAAGAAACGCTGTACTCTGCTTTGATACAATGCTGTTCTTTTCAGAAAGTGAAGGTAGCCTGATATTAGTGAGCGCTTTTCCTTCTTCTCTTGCATTTCGTGTTCAATCCTCGTGTCTGTCAGTCCATTGGATTGAAGCAGCCTTACACTTTCGAGATGAAGGGGGCAATATTGACAGCACCAGCATCACATCGAAATCTGGTCAAAACAGCTGAAAATCAAATCAAGTGGGGATCTGGACCCTGTTGATGTTCGTTGAAGTGGCAATTATACGAGGCCTAGATTTCCCAAGGGCAAGAAACAGGTTACCTACAATCGAAGTTCAAAGGTGACAATCAGCCACAACAGAAACGAGACAGCCAGACAAAGTTCCTTACCTGTTGAAGGGCGTAGTCTGCAACCTCCTCACTCAGAAACTCCACCCAGGCACAGCACCGCCGCGCAAAGATCACGTGCGTCACGAGCCCCACCGTCTTCACCACACCCCCCACCTTCAGCAGCCCCTCAAACAGCCTGCAGATCTCCTGGCCCGTTGCGTCGAACGGCGCCCCTTCTGCGTACAACGCCCGCTTCCGATCGATCACATAGTCCTTGTTGTTCGTATTCCCCACGGTGTTGGGGCTGCTGTGCTGGAGCACGTTGTTCGCGAAACTCGGGAGGTCCATTGGCGGGGAATCCATCGGCGGCGGGCTCCCGTTCGCGTTCAACGCGTTCAGCGACCCCAGGGAAACTGCCCCGTTGGCTGTTGCGGCAGGGGCCTTTGTCACGTACCCTTTCGGACGCTGGACAGCCAGGCACGTGCGTCCCACTTTCAGTGACTCGGGGTGCAGCTTGCACAGGTTCAGGGCCAGGTCTGCAAGCGCCTCGGTCGAAAACTCGATCCACGCGTGCGTCTTCCCGTCCTCCTCCGACCTCAGCAGGACATATGTCACCAGGGAAGTGCGGCGCGTGCCCCCCGCGCGGGAGAGGAAGTTTCCCCCTTTGCTCTGGAGCAACTCCTCGAACAGCTCCTGAACGCTTGCTTGCGTTACTTTCTTGGGGAAGTTGTCGACGTGCAGCGAGCGCTGGCGGTCCACTACGTAGTAACCAGTCAGGCCCCCCGGGATCTTGATGTTGCCCATCCTAGTTGTTCGATTGCCCCTGCTTCCCTTGGTTGCAACAGCTAATGTTTAACCGCTCGATGGTTGGTGTGCGGTTGTATACTGATCAACCTGCATTTAGTGGAGCCAATGATCAGGATGAATTCTGTAGATTTTGATTCTCCTTTGTCTATGTCAAATGGACTCGGGTGTGCAAAAGAGAGTCAAAGAACGAATGGAATTTCAGGGCACATTCTCAATCTCTGTGCATTTGAGGAACTAGGGAGCCAAGGATTGGCAGCTGATTTCAGGAAGATCAGATGAGTCGGTGACTAGCGACGGTCAGTCTAGATGGTACTCACGTATCAACAAGGAAGTTTGTTGTGCATTCGGTGGCTTTGAAAGATCTTTTTGAAGCAAAGAGGGGCAGCTAACGCAAAAATTCCTTTCAGGCAGAACAGATTCTTTGAAAGAGAACACATAAGGGTGCTCAAAGACACAATGCAAGCTGTTGATCAGGCCAGATTCAAGTATAGCCATATGTCAGCTTATCGACGTGGTTTCAAGCAGGAACTGTGTGCATTCTCTCAATAACCTGCAAATCCAATGACGCCAGCAGAAAGAGTGGGACGGATTGGGGAACTGATCGACATACTTCAAGATCAGCAGACAACTTCTGAAGTGTAGATAGAGAACAGCAGTATACAGAAAAGGCACAATAAGTGGTGTAAGTTTCAAATGAACAATGAAACACAGGGTCTTGCTTGGCGCCACTGCAATAAGATCAAGGAAGAGCATAAAACGAAGTGGCACAAAAGGGAGGGTTAAAAGGGCAATATCCTCAGTAGATTCAGGTCACTCCTAGCTGCGCTTATTGGTGCATCGATCGACAAAGCGAGTCCGTTGTTTGCAACGTTTGACGTTGATGTACAATCTGCCAATTCAATCTCACATTAGAACCTTTCTTCCGGAAGGAATGAGCAACAATTACTGCTGAAGGCTATCAATGAGATTAGCCATTGCTTCAAACTCCCTCAAGGTGAGTCCCAATACAACTCGAAGTTGTAAGCCTGAAATACAAAGTCCGTACTGGGGACCTATTGTGTATTAGCCAGGGCTTACTGCAGCCTGTTCGAGTACAATTGTCCACTGTGATACATGACTGGAACACTCAGCAAAGGCTTGCTCATGACCAAGTTTGGTGGCATGGATACTTTCAGGCTTCTTGAAGTAGGTGAGGAAAGGTCCATGCAAGTGCAGCTAGGGTTTAACTGACATCCATCAATGCAAAATGGTTAATGCTCTGCTTTAAAGGACACGCAGCTCATTAAGACTAAATTCATAGCCCCAAGCAGAACAGTGGACTGTCCCAACAATTCTGGTCTATAAATCAAAGAGATGAAACTATTCTAGGGGCACTGTCTGGGGCGTCACTCACCTGCGATGAGACCTGTGTTTTGTGCCCCTAAAGCATGCCAATGCATCCCTGCGAGCTGAATTGTGACTCCTTAGCTGCCCAAGAAGCATGCCTGCAACCCTTCTGAGAGTTGCACACCGAAAGTTGCACGCCTCTGGCCGAGCAGGGCCTTACTTCTATGTCTTTCGCGCAGAGGAAGTGTCGCCAGGTCCTCTCCCCCGAAAGTTTCAGACAGTTTCGTTCTCCGGATTATTTCTCACAATTTTGTCCAAATAAAGTCAGCTCACAGCCTGCGTTCCCTCTCACTTCGTTCCCCTCCTTGTAAGTTGTAGCTGCCAGCAGTGGCCAGAAGAGTGGCGAACAGCAGCAGGAAGGGGGTTCGTTGGAAGGAATATTTTTTCGCTACTAGCTGGCGGTAGCTCAGCTGGCGGTAGCGGAGAATTTCGGGGTGCTGATTCCTGCGCGGAATTTCGAGCAATGTTCTTTTCGGACTTTGGAACCAGCGCATTGGCCCGGAACTTGGGGCACGGTGACAGCTGTCGCCCGTACAGTGCACCGATTGTCCCCGCACATGTGAATCCTGACTCATATTGCCGAATTTCGATTGGCGAAAACCGACTTCGCCCCGGATAAACTTCGGCGCGGACTCTTTTGAGGTGCGAGGTTGGGGCAATTGCAGGACGGAATGACCTATAACAGACCATGAAATTTGAAAGCTCTGCAGAGGGAACCTTTAGACGTTTTGGCGCGTGCTGCGATTTTCTGTAGTTCCAAGATTCTCCGCTCAGTCGAGAAGGAGCACGGGATTCCACCTCCTGAACAGTTGGGTACTGTTTTTGGCAGAAGATTCGGGTGGATTCCACAGTCGAAACGAACCCTGCAAATAGAATAAAGGAGACCCCATGCAAATGTACCCACTTTGAGCGAGTTCGTTGGTACATCTCATACACACACCCGGTACGATAGCCCGAGCAGCTTCCTGATCTCCTCGGTAAGTTCCTTGCACAGCGACGCATCAATGTGACTTTGTTTGGGGGCGGTCGCCCCATGTCAGACACGGGGACCGACCCGGGTTCGCCCGTAACGTCCAAGTGGCAGTAGGTACCGGTAGCGTGTTGAGCGGTTTGCGGACTTTGAAGCGGGTACCGTACCCAGGAAGTTGCTTACACGCGCGCGGCATATAGTGAGCATCGAACGGTACGAAGGTGATTGGAGGATAATGGACGGCCGGTGTTTGCAAAAGCAATGTCTCGGTGATCCATCACGTGAAAAGGCTTGCAAACTCCAAAACCGTCCGACCGCCTCCCGGGGGCCCAATGAACTCATTGCACCGTGCGGCGTGTATTCAGTTCACTTTCCGGCGGCCAATGATGCATATACGGTATAAGGAG